TCAGATCGGCGAAAGGGACGAGCAACACGAGCACCAGCAATGGATCCTTGACACAGGGGCAACAAACCATATGACCGGGGCTAGATCTGCGTTCTCCGAGCTCGACTCGGGGATCCGTGGGACGGTGAAATTCGGCGACGGCTCCGTCGTCGAGATCGAAGGGCGCGGCACCATCCTGTTCGTCAGTAAGGGAGGCGAGCATCGCAAGCTGACCGACGTCTACTTCATCCCGAGGCTCAAGGCTAACCTTGTGAGCCTGGGTCAGCTCGATGAGACAGGCTGCTTCATTTCCATCGAGCGCGGACTACTGAAAATCTGCGATAATCAACGACGGCTGCTCACGCAGGCAAGACGAACCACAAACCGTCTTTACATCCTGGAGTTAGAGATAGACCAACCCGTTAGCCTCTCGGCCAAGACCGAAGAGGTATCTTGGAGGTGGCACGCAAGGTACGGACACTTAAACTTTCCTGCCCTAGAAAAGTTACAGAAGAAGGAGTTGGTGCACGGCTTGCCAGAAATCAAAGGCGTGAACAAGCTGTGCGACGGGTGCCTCATCGGCAAACAGAGGCGCACACCCTTTCCGTCTCGAACAGCCTACCGAGCCGATGAGCCATTGGAGCTTGTACACGGCGATACTTGCGGGCCCATCAAGCCGGCGACCCCAGGCGGTAAGAGTCTCTTCCTCCTGTTAGTCGATGACAAAAGCCGCTTCATGTGGCTGACTTTGCTGCAAGCGAAAAGTGAGGCGGCAGAGGCGGTTAAGCGCATTAAAGCGCGAGCGGAGGCCGAATGTGAGAAGAAGATGCGAGTGCTGCGCACAGACCGTGGCGGAGAATTCACCTCGGCAAGTTTCAGTAAGTACTGCGATGAGGTCGGCATACAACGGCACCTAACGGCGCCCTACTCCCCCCAACAGAACGGAGTGGTAGAGCGCCGAAATCAGACCATTGTCGGGACAGCGAGGTCATTGTTGGTGACGGCCGGGATGCCTGGGAGATTCTGGGGAGAGGCAGTAATGACGGCTGTCTATCTCCTCAATCGGTCACCAACCCGAAGCCTCGACGGGAAGACGCCATATGAAGCCTGGTACAACAAAAAACCAACAGTACATCATTTTCGCGTGTTCGGCTGCGTCGCATACATGAAGGTAACACGTCCCCATCTCGCCAAGCTCGATCCCAGGGGGCTGAAGGTCGTCTTCATCGGCTACGAACCCGGGAGCAAGGCGTACAGACTCTATGATCCTGTGGGGGGGCGAGCTCACGTGTCTCGCGACGTCGTCTTCGACGAAAGCACCTTCTGGCAGTGGAATGACGTGATCGAGGCAGACCGTAATCCAAATCAATTCACGGTGGAGTACCTCGTCACTGAGCCTGAAGAAGGAGGAGCCCAGCATCAGGAGACGTCACCGCCGCCAGCAGGTGCACCACCTGAACCAGTGGAATTCGCAACACCACGGACTGCGGATTCGACGCTGGATGCCGATCACGATACTGATCTGGAGGCTAGGTACCGGAGGATGGATGACCTAGTGGGAGGAGGTGAACCACCTGGACTAGCAGCGCGCGAGCTCGAGGAAGTGGCCGAACTACATGCCGTCAGTGCAGATGAACCAAACACCTTCGCCGAAGCAGAAAAGAACCCGTGCTGGCGGAAGGCAATGCAGGAGGAGATGACATCCATCACTGAGAACCAGACGTGGAGTCTGGAGGATATGCCACCGGGACACCGAGCCATAGGGCTCAAATGGGTCTTCAAACTGAAGCGCAACGAAAAAGGAGAAGTTGTGAAGCACAAGGCTCGTCTGGTGGCGAAGGGCTACGTCCAGAAGCAAGGAGTGGATTTCGAAGAGGTATTTGCGCCAGTAGCAAGGTTAGAATCCGTTCGTTTCCTGCTGGCAATTGCAGCACATCACTCTTGGGAGGTTCACCATATGGACGTAAAGTCTGCTTTCCTTAACGGAGAGTTGAAGGAGACCGTCTATGTTCGACAACCACCTGGCTTCCTGGATAACGACAACCCTAATAAGGTACTGCGCCTGCACAAAGCACTCTACGGGCTTCGACAAGCCCCACGAGCCTGGAACGCGAAGCTCGACAGTACCCTACTGTCACTGAATTTCAAACGTTGTGCCTCTGAGCATGGCATGTACACGTACGGCCACGGCAAAAAGCGACTGATCGTGGGAGTGTACGTCGACGACCTCATAATCACTGGAGGCGACGTGGGAGTCCTCGGAAGGTTCAAGAAGGAGATGTCGAAAAACTTCGAGATGAGCGATCTCGGTGTGCTCAGCTACTACCTCGGCATCGAAGTGCAACAGAACTCTTCCGGCATCTCCATCTGCCAAAGTGCATACGCGAGAAAGCTGCTGGACACAACTGGGCTTGTGGACAGTAATCCTACCAGGACGCCAATGGAGGCCCGACTTCAACTAAGGAAGGCCGGCACTACGACGACAGTCGACTCCACCAATTACCGCAGCATTGTCGGGAGTCTGCGCTATCTGGTAAACTCTCGTCCTGATCTTGCTTATTCTGTTGGATATGTGAGTAGGTTTATGGAAGCACCTAGGGAGGAGCATCTAGTGGCTGTCAAGCGCATCCTGCGCTATGTAGCCGGAACCAGAGACTGGGGCGTAAGATACTGCGCTGGGAGCGAAAAGGAGAAACTCAAACTGGTCGGCTACAGCGATAGTGATATGGCCGGTGACGTTGATGATCGTAAGAGCACCAGCGGAATGATCTACTTTCTCTCAGGCGGCGCGATCTGCTGGCAATCAACAAAACAGAAGGTAGTTGCTTTGTCTTCCTGCGAAGCAGAATACATCGCCGCTTCGATGGCAGCAACTCAAGGGATCTGGCTTGCACGACTAATGGAAGAAATCATCGGGAGAGAAAGCGATCCACCAATGCTATACATAGACAACAAAGCTACGATCTCCCTGATCAAAAATCCAGTTTTGCACGACCGGAGCAAGCACATAGAAATCAGATTCCACTACATTCGAGAATGTGCAGATCGAGGGCTCATCAAAATTGATTTCATCCGAACAGAGGAACAACTTGGAGACATTTTCACCAAATCCCTGGCGCGGGTGAAATTTGAAGAACTACGCTCAAAGATCGGAGTTCAAATAATAAGGTACAGCTTTTAGGAGGAGATTGTTAAATAAAAGCTCTGCCTTATTTAGTTAGGTTTGTAAAAAACATATGAGTTCACGCGAATGGAGGAGCGTGATTCTAGGGGCCATTGTTTTGGCAGAGTGGCGGAGTCTTCGTCCACTTATTCTATTTGTGTATATTTGGTTTTTCTATTTTTGTAATTAGATTTATTATTTAAACCATTCAACGGATGTAAAATAAAAAATATCGAGTCTTCAGCATTACCAGCGAATCTCTCTCTCTCTCTCTCCTTTTACTTCCGCTAATTTTTCCTTCGAAGAAACCTTCGGCCAATTTTTTCCGTCGACATCCGATTTGCCAGAGTCAACAGTCACTGGGTTTTTTGTGCTTCATGGGGTTTGTGTGGTGGTGGAATTTTGGGTGAAGATGGCGTTGGGAGAAAATTGGCGGCTTCATTGGGCGGTTGCCGGGCCGTTGACGTTGGCGTTTGTGGTGATCACCGCCGCGTGGTTGTTCTTTCCGCCGCTGTTGAAGACTGGCGTGGTGGCTGCAGTTATTGGGGAATGTAAGGCGGCGGCGGGGTATGTGAAATGAAAGTTATTTACGTCTTTTTCTTTGATTGAAATTATCGAAATATATTGAAAAATAAAATATTTCACTTTATAAACTTATTTAATTTTTGTATAACATAATAATTTATAATTAAGAGTTTATAAATTAATTAATTAATACCCATTAGTAGCTAATTACAATTGGTACTAAAAATAATTTGAAAAAACTCGATTAAAGTTTTATTTCAAAATTTATTATCAAACTTAGGCTAAATTAATAAAAATAGTAGCGGAAAAATATCATTGAATTTTTAAAAGATTTAATAATACACTTAAATTTAAAAATAAAAAAAAAAAACTCTAATGTATCTATTTTATTTCAAAATTATCCTTAAATTTTTAATAATATTTCAAAAAAATATCTTTGAACAAAAAAGTTGGATTTTTTAAGGTTTTTTAAAAAAATTGTCCTTTTTATTTTTTATTTATAAAAGTTATAATTTTGAAATATATTTTTTTAGAGATAAATGATGTTTTTAAAATAAAATATTAGAGGTTTCCATTCAAAACTAATTATAAAAGTATTTTTTAAATTTTATTTTAAATATAAGATAAGGAAATCCAAACATTTTTATTAACTTTAATGCTAAGATCCCGCTCTTAACTTATTTTATTTTATGATAAATATCGACATCAAGATTTTAATTTTACAGATATATCAACAAAATATAATATTGATGGACATTTTTTTTTGTAAATATCGATGTCAAATCTTCTTATTTATACTCGTTCACGGGTTTCCAATTTCACTCGTTTTTGCTTTTAATATTTTTACTTAATATTGAAAATATTTCTTAAAAATTTAAACTTGAGATTCTTTCTTTGAAATAATTTATATTTATAAATTTAATTAAATAATATATATTTTTATTTAAAATTTCAATTTCTAAGATTAAATTTATTATTTAATACCTACCCAAATAAAATAAATAATAAAAAAATAGAGAAAGTCTAAATTAATGTTAAATCATTTGTAATTTTTTTTCTTTTCATTCCTATCTATTTTATGATAAAACAAATATTTCAAACATTTAATAATTATTTGATTTTAGTAACCGTCATTACTCGTGAAATTATCACAGTTGGCATATTAGATAAAGACATACCACATTTAAATCACTATCGTAACTTATTAAGGTCAACAAATAAAATGTTAAAATAAAAATTATTAAAGTGAAACTAATTTTTAAAATACAAAATAAATAAAAAAAACAAAATTGATTAATTACATCATTACAATTGAAAGCATTAAAAAAAAACATTTTTTTTTTCTAAAATTGTTCAAACAAATTTGTCTTTCATAAAGTTGACTAGAACATAATACTCACCGATTGTGCTCTCAACAACGCCATTTCGAATCAGCTGAGGGAACATCAGCCACCTCGCCGTCGCTATCAAAAACCCCACCGTCATCGGCCCCGACAACACCCGGGGAACCCGCCATCGTATTTTCCGGCCCGTCACCGCAGCCTTCGCCGCCACCTCCGCCGCAGTGCACACGCCGTGCAGGACAAAGAACCACGTGACTTCCCATGTGGGAGCGACACGTGTGAAGTAATAATACATCAACTCGTGCATAAGGCCAGAGACAGCAAACGTAACCACCATGGCCAGAAATTGGGCCCACTTGGGCCGGAAAATGCGGGAAGTTAAGGAACGGGTGGGATCGTATACGGCCGGGCGTAGAATACTTGGAACCATGAGATTCCATCGACGACTCCAAAAATCCTGAAGCGACGTGGAGAGATACGGCTTGTTGAACTGCGGTTCGATCGGCTCTCCAATCATCGCTCTCGATGGAAGTGAACACAGAGCGAGAACGATTTCGATGCCGATGTACATATGGAGACAGTAAAGAACGAAAATCATCGCTGGATTCATACGATTTCGGTAACTGTAAAGCCGAATGATAATCGCTAGAAGCAAAATCTTGACGGAAAGAACAATCGGCTCTACGATTCTTCGATTCTTAGATTCTTCAGGATGTTTTTGCTTCTTGATCTTGATCGGAAGGCAGAGCACGGCGGCGAAGTGGAGGAGGCTTGGGAGTGGCAAGTAGGTGAGAGGACCGAGATCGAAGGCGAAGAGGAGGAGTTTGAAGTTGCCGAGCCAAGCGAGGAAGAAGGCAGTCGGACCGCCGAAATGGAAGGAGTGGAGATTGAGAGGAAGGAGGAGGAAGATGAAGAGGACGGGGAAGAGAGAGAGGAGCCGGGGAAGTCCCTTAGCGATTTTGGAAGCTACATAGTAAGAATAGCAAATGAGAGCAATGGCAATGGACCATACCTGGAGGAGGCTGGATAGTTCGCCGTCCATTAGGTTTCCGGCGGCGGAGGTCGGTGGTAGTGTTGAATGGCCATCTGCCATTTTCGTTGCGAGGAAGATGGAGGGGATCAAAACGACACAGATAAAACCATGTTTATCCTAAAATATTTTGGTAAATTAAATTTTTTAAATTTTATTTTATTTAATTATTTATTACTTTTTTCAAACCATTTATGAGTTGTATCTGTCAATATCTAATCCTTGAGATCCAATAAACTATTTTTTTTTAAATATTAATTTCATTTTTTTATTTTACTTTTTTTAATATTTAATTATATAAACGGACGCGTCTGCATTTTGAGAAAAGTTAGTATTATCGATAAGAAAATTCAATTAAATTATTTGAAGGTTATGATATAGAATGTCGATCACCAACTATTTGAAGGTTATAACGTGCACTCCCTGTTTTACTTCTCTAATCGAGAAGAAGCACAGTTGCCATCCTAAAACAAGGCTCGTAATCTTTCATTCTCCTTCCTTAATATTTTTCAAGTGCGGTCGATGTTGGAAAGAAATGTTTTTAACATTAAATGGTAAATAAAATAATCAAAATTATTATTAAAACTAAATCCCCTAGTCGGTTCCTTTTATTTCATTTTGTGAAAATCAGAGTGAAATTTCCCAGAGAAAAAACGTACCATGTTTAATATATTACAACATAGTCTTCCATATTTAAAGTGATACAAGACAAAACGGGTATTTAGCAAGACAAAAGTGGGGACGAAGAATATAATCTCGGTCCTATTTAGCAAAATATGCAGTCATTTGTTTAATAATTGGATAATATACATAGAGTAATTTATAGTAGTTTTTAATATATTATTTTATTAGGTTAAAAAAAAATCTCATAGGAAAATTATTTTTTATTAGACGTATTAATTATATGGATGTCAGTGGTGTATTAACTTGTGAATGTTTGAAATTTGAATTTTACGAGAGTTTAGTTTGTAATATATATGCGGATAAGTACGACTTTTTACAAAATAATTAGAAAAGGAAATTCACAGCCCCGATTCGAAAATATAGTGTTGGGTTGGATTGAGTTGTGAACTTTATTTAGGTTGTTCCGGTCACCAACCCAACCTAACCCAAGCTCTGTATACTTCTACTCAATTAGAGCAAATAGAGGGTATCAATCTTCGGCGGTGAAGAGAGGTAAACGAAAGCAAACCAAACAATATCTATTAAATTTAGAAGCAAAAATCAAGATGAATTTAGAATTTCTTGTTTATTGTTTTTTGTTTTTACAAATTTACCCCTCTATGAAGTTTCGTTCTCTCTATATTTATTATGTTACTCATATCTTTATTTATTTATTTATTTATATTTTTCTATATTTATTATGTTACTCATATCTTTATTTATTTATTTATATTTTTCATAATCATTTTTTAAGGTAAATGATTAACATTTTAATTAATATTATATTTCCACCTACACTCCCACCATTAATCTTCCAAGGTTAAATATGGGTCTCATTAGAACAACTGAGCTGACCCAATTTAAAATCAATTCCTTAAATATTCAAAATTAAATTGTTTATAGACTGCAAAATAAGTTAGAAATTTTAATTATTAGTATTTATAATTATATTGTAGTTAATACACGGTCATGTACAGCATCCATCCAGTAATAGTTTCTTGGCCAAAAAAAGCATTACAGTTGCTGTAAGGTGAGCAAGATTTAGAGTAGGGTGCGGGTGCGGGTGCGGGTGCAGGTGCAGCCTACTCGTTAAGCCAGCCAGCAGAATTCTGGTTTGAATATGGGTACTGAGGACCAGAAGCGAACCCCTGTGGCGCACCCCTGAAACCAGGGGGCAGGTGAGATCTCGGGTCGATAGTGCCACTGCCATTCATCTGATGCCCAGCGCCCATTCCTGCCAATCTGGTGTGGTTCAACTCATCGAGTCGAGGCATGTATCGTTGCGTTGCTGAAGTGTTCATCCAGTGAGATGGTTCAGAGGGCGTACCCAGATGCCCATAGGTAGGTGGGAATGACCCAATCCTGTTAATATACCCAGGTTCAGGTCCAGCTTGATAATTGCTTCTTAAATTATCGGTATCCATATTCCCGTAACGACGAAGTTGTGATCGTATTTCTAAGTCCCTCGTGTATGCGTTGTGCCCAGTAGTGTAGGGTGCATAATTAAGGCCATCAGCATGTCGTCCCATTTGATCGATGATACGGTCCTCAAAGTGTCTAGACCCAATTTCAGAACTGAGGCTTGTATTGTTTGACCATCCACTTGTCCCAATTAGATGAGGCTCCTGGTTGTACTTTCTCGCAATGGCATCCGTCGAGCTGGTCCGTGCTGCATCATAAGCAGCTCTGAAGTTGGCATTCTGGCCAGGCACAGTCGACCCCAACTGCTGATGTCCAATCCCTCCCACAGCAGCATATCGAGCAATGTCGTTTGTTGCGCTACTTCGTGCTGCTTCATTAGCAGCTTGGAAGTTGGCATTCTGGCCAGGCATAGTCGACCCCGACTGCTGATGTCCAATTCCTCCCACAGCAGCATATCGAGCAACGTCGTTAGTTACGCTAGTTCGTGCTGCTGCTTTATTAGCAGCTTGGAAGTTAGCATCGAAACCAGGCTTAGTCGACCCCGACTGCTGATGTCCAATCCCTCCCACCTCAGAACTGGACAATAAACCAGCCAACGAGGATCTACGATCACTCACATTTGGAGAAGGCCTTTTACCATCACGTCGGCTCTCTTCTGATGTCTCACCATCACCTCTTCTAGGTATTTCTTCGAAACGCTGCCTCTTTCTTGGAGCCTCAGGAGACAGATTAGTACGGCGGTCTCGACTGTCATGACTCTCTCTGTCGTTATCCCTCTTCGATGCTTTCATGGACCCATTTTTATGAACGTCACAGGAGACCGATCCACTCTTGGAATCTTCTGGTTCATCTGCTGACATTACAGATTCCAACAGGAATGTATCATTGAGATGAATATGATCATCAGAAGTTTTGGAGCTTCGGCCCTTTTCCGACTCCATTTGATTTGGCCTTGAGGTTTCAGATCCTAATCCCATTCCTGAATCCTCTTTTTGCCTTAGCCTAGACAAATCAGAACTCTTTCCCTTTTCAGATTCCTCTGGTTGCCTCACCCTTGAGGTATCAGAAGTCTTCTCTTTTTCTGATTCCTCTTGTTTCCGGGGGCGGAGATGGTCGTGCTCTTGTGCTATGTCTTTGTGTTTATCGGCCCAGTCACGACGACTCCACAAATAGAGCACAGGTGGCCTGACATTCCACTGATCCATCTGCTTGTCTTTTGCATTGACAGATCCAGGAAGATAAAATGACTGAGAAGGAAAAAAGGGAATCAGAGTCCTATCTCAATAACATACAAGAAACTGCAACAGGATCTTGCTAATTGCAATACCTTTCCTGACAAAAACTCATTATCCTCCCAAACCAGGTCATAAGGAGTCTTTTTTTTATCCAACCTACAGTAGAAAATATAATACGAGTCATCAAAAATGTCATCAAGTGCTTTGTTTCCATACAACATCTAAGGAAGTGCTAAGATATGCCGAGGTGAAACCGACCACCATTACCTCTCGGTTTCAGGAGGAACAATAAGAATAACGAGCTTTGGCTTAAACTCGAGAGCCTTATCAACGAACTTGTTTGCCAAAGCAGCTTTAACTCCAAATGGAGGATTTAGCCCCATGATCTACTCTTGCGAGGTACGAGGGAGGCAGTCAGCTACATTTTATTATAAGCCACAGAGATCCAAACATGTATGCCATCATATATAAATCAATGTTCTATTAATTACGCATTGACATCGAACAAAATATAGCAAAAGCCCTTCAAATCCCTTATCCTAGAATTACTGATTTAAATATGTCACCAACCTTTTTATTTAATTTGAATGATAAAGTACAAGCCAAATAATCTTGTAGGAATGTAATATTTTAAAAGTCAATAATTTTCAATTCAAACTACATACGAAGAAAATTCATCCCTCTGTATACTTAATAAGTCAAAAGTAGTTAATATCTCACTTGAATTAAAGATTATTAAGATCTACCATGCTTACTAATGAAAATAAATTAATTCATCCATTGACATTTTATATTTATAAAATTTACTTAAAAACTTCTTTAAAACATATCTTCAAAAAGCAAACACGAGGGCAATTGTTCTCACCAATTGAGATCCTTTAGGCAATTCCTTGGGTTGCACAGTCATCCAATCCCTTCTCTCAAAATTGAAATCATTCTGCAAGAATAGCCATGAACAATATCCGGCAATCAAGATGCACAACAAACTTTATAAAATGTAGAAATCAAGGTCCAGGCCACTGAGATGAAAAGAAGCGCAAAAGTCTCATAACAGATGCTAAAAGAAGCAATCTCATTGAGCAAAAGAGTTCCAAAGTCAATAGTAAACAAATAACTGGCAATCATGAGAGTACGAGTAAATGCCTTGATAAAGTAAAATCAACGCACATTATCCATAAAGCAACATAATGTTCATTTTAATAATTTTATGACATCCTTTTACCCTTTTTCCCTAAGAACACATCCAAATCAGCATTAAAATAACGCCATGTTGTATCCATACAGCTTAATAAAGTTGACAACAGATATGACTTCAACATACTTAAAATGTAAAAGTTTGGGTTGGCATACCTTCGGTGGAATAAAGTCAAAGTTTCTGTACGAGCATGGTTTACCCGTCTCATCAAGTTTTTTCTTCATTAAAATGCTAAAATCATTAGCACCGCAGCAGAAATCCACTATCTGTTTATGGGAAAAACTTTAGTATGCAGCAAGACTCAATTATGACAAAAAATAAAAATGAAACAGAAACATTAACATGATGCGATCATAAAATTGGCAGGAACACAGGTGGGTTGCAAAATAAAGATCTACGAAAAACATTACTAGAACCCAAAAAGAAATCTCCGATCATTTTGTGAGACAAACAAACGATGCCACCAGTATTTAAAGTGGCCACAACATCAATTTGGGAGACGTTATCCCTTTGGTGTCACAAACATCCCCTACAAGGCTGGAAGATGTTGAGAAATTAAGAAAAGTTGGGTACGAGCTCAATATAAAAGAAATGCAGAGCAAATCCAAACTATTAGTG